CTGGTGTTTCCAGCATGTATTTTTTTGCTTCTGTTTGCCTCTTTTATTTATTCTGTTGTCAGTGCAGATGCTGTTATCAAGTTTAGCTGTTGCCATGTTTCAAAGTTTATTTCCTACTCAGTGTTTGTGCTAAAAAAAAAAAAAAGCCATTAATTGGTGTTTTTAGTACCAAGTGTTGAGGTGTGTGAGAGTGCATGAATACATGTCATTCACTTAGGTTAGGTGATCTATATGGTTTTAACATAGAGTTGCTCATAGAGTACATTCTTTGCTCCTTGTATTAACTATTAGTCCTTTTGAGATTAGACGAGTGTTTGATGTCTCATTATAGATTCTTCAGATCAGTGTGTTGGTATCTGTTACTGAGATACACTGGGATGGATCTTAATCCTGTTTGTCATGATGCCATACCATTTGTCTTTTTTCTAATTCCATGCCCTGAATCGTATCTGGTTTATTAGTTTTTGGAGGCTTGCTTTCCTGTGTTATTGCCTGTCGGAGATTTCTTGCCATCAAGCTGGAAAATGGTAAGCCTGTCTGGTGAAGGACGCTTTATTACTTTGCATCTTTGTTTTCTTCTGTTGTATTCATGATTTGAAGTCTGTGACAATCCTGGAGCATTTGCAGGCTCTGCTGTTTGGCACAAAATGACTTTTCAGATAAGTGTATACTGCTGCAGAGAGAGTTCATCTGAAGGCACTTGAGATATGGAACAACAGCGAAAGCCTGAGATGACAATGTGAAAGTGGATTGAAAACGAAGACACAAAGAGTCTTTTTATCCTCCCCAGGCGGCTGAATGTGAAATGAGGGAATGTAAAGCGGGAATTTATTTAGGAACAGAAAAAAACAGAGACAGGAGGGAGTGAGTGTAATGGAATCACAGGTTGAAAACCTGACTGAGGTGGAACAGAGAAGCAAATGGAGGTAAGAAAAGAAACTGAAGTCTAAGGATGAGACTTGATCTGAACCACAAGCAGCTCATACACAAGGACTCAACCAATAACACAAATAAGACCAGGAGACAGTTTTTATTTATTTTTATTTTGACCCCTGCTAATAGGACTAAATTTGGCTTGATGCAACAAAAATGTAACAGAGATATATGGGTTTTGCACACAAACATAAGAACTACCTGCTATTATTTGCGTTACAACATAAATTCATATATATCTCAGCATCTCGTCCAAGGTGGCAAAAACGACCATCTCTCATTTAGTTTCTGCATATTCAAATTTGGCGCGAAGATAGCCCACGCGATAGCTAAGGAAGTTTAAGCTCAGTTTCTACTCCTCCCTTTTCTCCTAATATGCGGACCCAATAATAACCAACAAAAATTCAAAGACTGATCATTGGCATTTTGTTTTCTCTTGCAGCAGATGTGTACTGTCACTAATGAAGGTTTACAACTGTATATAAAGATTGATTAGTCACATGACACTTACGGCGCTTTTCCACTGCATGGTACGGCACGGCACGGTACGGTACGGCTTGGTACGGTTCACTTTTGGGGGGTTTTCCACTGGGTACAGTACCTGGTACCTGGTACTTTTTTTAGTACCACGTCGGTTGAAGTTCCAAGTGAACCGTACCGTTACCAAAATGTGACGTGTAAACTCTGCTGATCACGGATTGGCCGGAGAGAATCATCACTACCTGCGTCACTGAACTTGCGCCACTAACACAACAGAACCGATATATTTAAATCAGCACAGCCAGCGAAGGATCGAACGCAACTGTTTTGAATGAGCGCACCTTTTAACAACCAAAAAGTGTTTGTTTCGTTGTCTGTTGAGGAAGTACAGACGTTCCTCTCGTTGATAGCAGAGGACCGAGAGCTTGATGGGGCGACGCGCAATGAAAACGTTTTTCAGGAGTCGCGGCAGTAGAGGCGGCACAACTATAACGACATGTGAGCCGTGCCGAGCCGAGTCGTACCACGCAGTGGAAAAGTGCCATTAGATATCGCTCTTGGTGTGAACGGGGCTTAACTCTGAACTTTCTTTTATCCTAAAAGTGAAACAGGGAGTCTATTTGGTGACTCACCAAACAGAGGGTGGCGGAGCATTTCATGCTCATGGGGTAACTCACTGAGTAGGGGGTTGGAGATGGCACCAGGTGGGTAGGGGAATCGTGCCAGAGGGGGGCCAGCAGCCAATGGGTCCACGCAGTGGAAAAGTGCCATTAGAGGCTCAAAAGGTTATGTCGTCTTGGGCAATACGGCAAATTTTAAATTGTGTGCTTCGAGGTGGTCCTGCACAAGTCAAGCATCTGTCATTGAGATGAATGTAAAATGCTAACAGGCTAACTCTCTCCTTCAGTGTAGTGCCATTCAAGTCTGGTCTGGTTATTGGTAAGTAAAGATGTGTTACATGAGTAGCAGAAACATTGCCTGACAAAACAATGGTACTATGTCACCTGAATGCAACAGCTTAATATATAACTAAAAAAAAAACTGACATGGAGAATGAAAGAAAAAACCAAGAGCAGATGGCTAATGAATACACTGGTTTATTTAGACAAAAACATAGTATACGTACAACTTACATATTTGATTCTCATTTAATGAGGTCTGGTGATTGATTTCATAAGTAATAATGGCATCAGCTATGTGTGCTGTTCAAGCGCACTCCTAAAGTCAGCAATTCAGCAATATGCCATCAATATAGATTTCTGATAGTAATGTTGCAATATATGATCTAAAGGGTTTTCTGCAATTAAAACTTTTTTCTAAACATTTTCTTACACAAATGTCACAGGTTCACAGGGTCCTGATAAGGATCCCGAAAACAAATGAATAATAAAAAGTGAGTAATCAATAAAAAGTCATATTAATACCAACAGTTACCAACCGACACGTGCCTAAAACAGTTCCAACAAGTCTAGAATCAAACAAGTCTTTGGGTTTAAAAAAAGAAGCTGAAGTATTGATCTTAAAGCTTGCTGGCTGACATGAACAGGCCTAAAATATGCCTCCTGAATTATGTGTGTCATCAAAGTTTATATCAGAGGCACATTTAGCATTAATTAAGCAATGCACATTCTTCATATAGCTTTTATGAACAGCTAAATACACATGCCGACACGCAGAACACATAAATGCTGTCGCACAAGGAAGATCTCTGTAGCTGAGGCATTTAAGCCATTTCTAGAAGCTTCCACCAATAGTAAGGAAGGGTGGCAGTACTGGATGGGTTCATCCATCCCAGCCCATTTTTTTTTCTTTTTTTTGCAAATAAAATCATTTGTACATCAAACATCAATAGAAATGACTTAAGAAAGGCAATGATAACATTTGTTGGTGTGGTTTCCATTACACTGGCAGTAACTCTACTATAACATTACATAGTGACATTATGTCAAAAAGTGTTCTTAAATATAAACCATATGAATACTTATAAACATTTAACAATGAACGGAAATAACCCCCAGCAATAAACGACGAGCTAAACAACAAAGAAAGCAAACAACAGCTTGTGTCTCTAAGGCCTCCTCCGACGCCTCGCATTTTCAAATGTCTGATAGTTTGATCTGGAACAAGAAAAGGCACTTTGCTACATTTGGCAGAGAGCAGAGGACCGTTTAAACACGTGAATACGGATCAGGAAACGCTATCTTGACCCTTGAACACCACACCCTAAAGTACTTTAAAGTCCCAGTTTCCACAGATTCCCAAGCCCTAGGACATGCGAACGCTGAAAAAGTTCAACCAGCCAAGCAATCTTTCACATCTCATTCTACCTGTCAGTGCAAGTCCCCAGATGGGGAAAGGGAAGTTTCTGGCCAGAGATGTGGCGCTCCCAGTGTGTCGTGGGTCAACGGCTGCGTTCCCTATATTCACATGATAAGTCCAACCATAATGGTGTTGAGTTGCTGATCCCCAGAAGAAGATATTAAAAAAACAACAACAACATGTTTGCCTTGCAGATGTTCAGCTGTCAATTAAAAAACATAGTGCAATCAAAAGATGAACAGAGAGAAGCATTTACTGTGTTTTACACACATCTCTCTCTGAAAACCTTTAGTATCATACTTCTAAAGTTTAATATGAAAATTAGAAATTTTGCCATGGCAATAACTTTAAGTTAGTTTAAGTAAATACAGTTTTTTTATGGTTTTATTTTTAGTTAGCGATAACAACCCTGCCGATTTGCTAAACTGGTTTTAACACGTAATGTACTTGGATTAATTTTGATCTGTTTAAAAGGGAATGTTAATGATAATTGTGTGCCAATCGTAGAGTTGTTCATTTTAGAATGAGTTTCCAAGTATTACATCAAACTTCTTGGAGTTCTATTGCACTTTTCCAAGTTTAGACTGCTGAAGTTGAAAGGAACGCAGCATATTAGTGTTTGTTTTTGAAGGACACTGGGACACGCCAAGCTTTCTCGCAATCAGCTGTAGCAGGTACACATAATACATTGTGTGTGTGTGTGTGTCTTTCTTTTTTGTTCACTTCACATCAATCATTTGATTGTAGAGGAGAAAGAGAAAAGGTTATTTTGTGTTTAATGCAGGAAAATTGATTTAATGTTTGTGTGTGTGTGTGTGTGTGTGTGTGTGTGTGTGTGAAAAGCAATATACCAACATTCATCATCTCTAAATCCCCTTCACTTGCATCTGAAGTCCTGTCTCTCTTTCAAATCCCTCTTCTGTTTTCTCATCCTTTTTTTAAACTCTTTTTAAAAGTTGGGCCCAAAAGTCTGAGACCACGTTAAAAACCTGGGATTCAAAAGTAATTGAATACAGAGAAAATATACAGAAGGTATTTGGATTTTGAAAAATTTGAAACAAGTAAATGTAAAATTACATAAAATAGGAAATATTTCAGACTCCTTATTAGATCATGCTGGAAAAAGTCAGGCTTTGCACTTTATCATATAAACGAAACCTAAAAATTGCTTTGCTAATATTATATTTTGCGTTTAAAGAATTGTATTCTAAAAATATGATTTTCACTAGTGGTCTCAGACTCAAGATTTTAAATAGTGTTTTACAAATTCACAAATAGTAATTCTTAGCTGATTAAATATTTTAAAGCTTTTAAATTCAACATAGAATTTTCCAAGCCGGTTTAAAATTCCAGGTTTTCCATGAGCGTGAAGACGCTGGTGTTTTTCAGCACACACTGCACCCTCCACCCAAAACAAAGTATCCTGGCATTGTTCGGATGGGCTCTCGCGAGCCGCCGGGGTCACAGGTCACGGCTGGAGCTGGGCGTGGCGACGATGGGCACCGGGTGCAGACTGAGCTCTGCTGCGCGGGAGGGCGGAGTCACTGGCACATTCAGGGGTGTGGCTTGAGGCTCAGGCCACACCTTCCACAAAAGCCAGAAGAAGAGACAGGAGAACATACAGACAAATTGAAGGGATGAACGGAGAGACGATAAGACAATAGAGCACAGGAAAGGAGACGAAATAAAGATGGAAACGACAGACAGAGAGAGAAACAGCGTTTAGAGTGTGGACTGGCCAATGATCTGGGGTCTTGCAGGCTGAGGCTTCTCAGATGCACTCATGCAAGACTGTAACTGCAGATCCTGCAGAAACACAGAACAGGACAGACAGTGGCACCTCTGCACTGCTGTGTGTGTCGATGATGCTGTTTTGCAGTTTAGAAAACCAGGAATTAATGATGCAATAATGAAAATTCTGCCATTAGTTATTTCAGACCCAGTTTTTTCAGCATTTCTCTATTTGTGTTCCACTGAGAAAATTACAGCGTACAGGTTTTGGAATAACATCGTGGTGAGTAAATAGTGACAGAATAAAATTTTTAGGTGAACTATCCCTTTAAATTGCACTTGTAAAAATAGAAGCCTAACAAGCACAACATTCTGCCGTTCCCTTTTCCCAACATTTTCAGCCATTTCCATGTCTTTTTTCTTTCTTCCTGTTTTTCATTCTGTAGAATAACATGTTCTTTCTGGTGCACAATGTGGTTCTAATTCAGCCTCTGAGATTCCCTGCTGGTACTCTTTAAAACAGAGAGAGAGAGACAGATTTTCCACCGGAATGATACCAGAGATGGTGCTCGGATGCAGGATCTGTGAACCTCAATTAGGACTGGCCTGCATTTCCACAGACGTAAGAGACAAATATGAAATATATAACAAATGACATTCATTGCAACATTTTCAACATAAGATTTAAATAAATGTATTCATTAATTCATTTAATTCTAAATTATATAATATTATTGTGTAAATATTATAATTATTTATATATTCATATATTTAATTTATTAATTTATTTTCTAAATTATATTATATTTATATGATCTTTTTTGTATTTATTTATTCAAAATATATTTGTTTATAAATATTTATTTACATTATATATATATATATATATATATAATTAACAAAAATGTTATGTAATATATTTATATTTATTAAGATATTTTAAATTTATTGATGTATTTAAATAAAACATTTTTATTTCATGAAGATGCTGTGATCTAATGGGAGCAATCTACTTTTTGTTTTTGTGCCAGAGTGATTTGTTGTTCTGATAAATTTTGAAGTGGTGATGTTTGGTTCGTGGATCAAGACCAGCAGGTTTAAAGAGCCATTGCCAGGCAAATAGTTTTTTGTTGTTTGCTTTGTAAACATGCAGAATGGAGCCAAATTGGCCTCCAGCTCCAGCAGCGCTACACTGCTGGTAATGTAGAAAGTGCATGTGTGTCTATAGTGTCTCCAGAAGTCAGATGGAGTATCAGTCAAAGCAGGGAAAGCCAGTCTGCCACAGAGAGACATTAGAGCTGATATCAACTTTGCGGATGCAGTAATGACTTAAAGGGACTGGCTTTTTCACATTGATTCTACATCAGATGCTGTGATGTCCATCAAAGGCAAGGAATTCTTCAGTCATACTGATCTGATTCAGTCTCTGATTTCCCCACTGAATGAACTATGGAATCGTCTGATCTCACTCCCGGAAGGACACTCTCATAATACACTCACATTTCTACACACACATACTTGTACTTCCTTATGGTCCACTTGGTCAAGCTGACACAGGGAAATACTAACATTTCATAATTTCTTCTACTAGGGCTGAGCAATGTGATAAAATATAGATGGTAAAAACGGATGTGTATATTGATTATTTCAACAACAACTTCAAGTGCGGTTCATCCAATTACAAATTGAAGTAAATTACAATAGTTTAACTATTTCGAGGTTTTTTTGGACGTAATATTTTGTAACATTTTCTGAAGAATTATGTCTTGGTTAACATCAATCAAGATCCTAATAAAAAAAATCACTGTATATTGTATATGTAGACTATTTATTGTCAATTATTCATAATCTCTTCTACTCGGGCTGAGAAATATGATAAAATATAGGTGATGAAAATGTGTGTATTTCAACAAATTCAAGTGGGGTTCATCCAATCACAAAGTCATAAACATACATTTTTTGATTTACTGTTTAAATATTAATTCAGACATAATATATTTGCACATTTTTTGAAGAATTATCTGTTGGTTCCAAATGATAAAAATCTATGAAATGTAATGATTTTCAATAACCAAAAAATATGGTTAATGTCAAATAACTCTGTGGTAATATTTTACAGATGGTTGTTTAATAAATAAATAATATATGTGTTGAATTCCCACCAAAAATATATATTACTGGTCAAAATTGGACTATTTTGACAATTGTTTGACTTTTTCCTACAAATTAGAATAGTTGTAATGGCATCAAAACTTTATACATATGAATGTATGTAGTGACAAAAACTGTTATTGTGATTTATTACTGTATAAAACGAATCACTGATGTAAGATTGTGGTCATAATATCGCTCAGCCCTTTCTTTCTTCGTCTTTCACTCACAAACACACACAGATGCTAATATACATGGACATTGGGAATGTTTATTGGGAACATATGAGTAGTGTTGTCCCTAAGAGCACTGAGATTGTCTCTTTTGGGAGGGAAGAAGGAGCAACATGTTGGCAGCTGGATCGAATGTAAAATTCTCAGCATGTTTGTAATCTACAGAGAATTCATGAAAACACCAGCGAAGGGCCAAAAACCAACTGGCCCTAACTGTACGGTTTGTTTTTCTTCTTCTAGAAAACAGTTTAAAGGAATAGTTTACCAAAAAGTAACAATTCTGTCAACATTTACTCGCCCTCACCTTGCTCCAAACCCTTCAGTGGAACACAAAACATAACGTCATGATATTCAAAATGTTCAAATAGACTTTTGAATGCTATCAAGTAGATCATATGACTTAAACTCTTTGAGTCTTCTGAATTTTCTGGTTGTCCTTTTTGTTCATATGCATTGATTGTTAAACAGGATTTTAATTTTATTGAGTGAACGATGCCTTGAACAACTTTAGAGAACGTTCAGTAACACTTTACAATAAGGTCTCATTAGTTAATGCATTGACTAACAATAAGCAATACATTTGTTGCAGTATTTATAAATCTTTAACATTAGCTGATTAAAATTCTACTCTTCATTGTTAGTTCATGTTAGCTCAGTTACATAGTATTAATGGATACAACTTTTGATTTTAATAATGAATTTGGTAAATCTTGAAATTAAAATGAACTAATATTAATACATACTTTAGAAGTATTTTTCATTGTTAGCTCATGTAGCAAGTGGAACCTTATTGTAAAGTGTTACTGAACTTTAATTAGCTAAAACATTCAACACATCAGACAATGCAAAGAACAGAAAGGTAAGTTTACACAACGACAATGTACTATAAATGGAAAAGTTTTTACTTTGCATTTTTTAAAGGTTTTGCAATAACAACGTTGTCAAAATGGTCCCCGTTCACACGGATCCACAAACACGAATATAATCGCTGCATTATGCATGTCAGGCCAATAGTTGGGGATGTCACTTTGTAAATAAACTCGTCTATGTGCGCATTCTTCTACGGAGCAGTGAATACAAACGTTGTTTTGGTTGTCAAGTACTCGCGCATACCTAAAGACCATGTAATACGCATGCGCATGACGTCACCATTTTCACAAATTTGCATTGTTGTAGTTTACGCAGAGATGATAATACTATCGTTTTCAAAAACGTGCACTTTGAAACCCATATTCAAAAGTTTACATATAAATGAACGAAAAACTAGGGCTGGCAACATTAACGCGTTAACGAATGTGATTAATTCAAAATGCTTACTATGTTAAAATGATTTAACGCTAATAAATTACTGAAGCACACAAAATTGCATCTTTAATGTAAGCTTGCCAGTCAGGAGTTTATCACACCGAGCATCTATAATAATGAAAACAGCTGTAACCCTGGTAGGCAGACATTTCTATTTTAAAAGAAAATCAGATGGCACTCTGAAGTTGTGTGCATACATCGCGTTTTGAAGTACCATTTAAAGTTCATTGAGTTTGAAGTCTAGTTTGAGCAAGCTAACGATGAATAAATTTTAGTTTAATTTCACGTTAAGTGTGCGATTAATCGCACAAACTTGGGTGTGATTAATCACAATTAATCTTTTTATCTATTGACTAAACATTCAACAGATTCATTAAACACATGTAAAATACGTGAAATGTGCTTTCAGAGTGACTTTACCTGGCTGCCTTGTACGTGTCCATTAAAGTCATTGTTCTGAGGCGTCAGGAATGTATCGTGGGTCGTCGTTTTCTCCGTCCGCGGCACACTGGGATCGCCATCCTCCACGCCGTTTGCCTTGCGCACGCACAGCACCTTCCGGAAACTCTGCTTGAAGTTGTCGGACAAGAACCCGTAGAGCAGCGGATTGGCACAGCTGTTGGCATACGACAGGATGACGGCGAAAAAATACACCCCTGCCATCACGCTGTTCTCCGGGAGTATGAACACTAGGTTTACGATGTTGATGATGTAGAACGGCAGCCAGCAGAGGACGAACACTACCACGATCACCACCACCATGCGGGTCACCTTCCGCTCGGAGCGTCTGCGCTTTGTAAATCCCGCCCGTGCACCAGACGACTTCACCTTGACTACGATGAGCAGGTAACACATGCAGATGACCAGCAGGGGGCCGAAGAATCCGAGCGTTGCGGTGTAAAGTATGAATGCTGTCGACCAAACGTCTCGTGGCTCTGGCCAACTCATGTTGCATGAGTTAAACATGTCCTGCACGTCAGAGAATATCACCACGGGGAGAACAACGATGAACGAAAATGCCCAGACCGCTGCGCTAACTGCTTTAGCTACTCGTGGCCGGCGCCACCTAGTGGAGCGGATAGGATGCACTACTGCTAAATAGCGATCAATACTCATCACCGTCAAACAGAAGATGCTTGTGAATTGATTTAACGAGTCTGCCGTCATGACGACGCGACACAGGAATGAGCCAAACGGCCAGTAGGACAGTACGTTTTGCGTCGTAAGGAAAGGGAGGCCCAAAATATACAGCTCATCGGCCACGGCCAAGTTTAAAATGTAGATGTTTGTAACTGTTTTCATCTTAGCATAGCGCAAAACTACGTAGATAGCCAGAGTGTTGCCAGTAAGTCCAACGATGAACACGGTGAATGATATGACTGCAGTAACCATCGTGCTGCTCCCTTGAAATGGCATGCTTTGATTGGACACATTGCCAGTGTAATTCCCAACTGGAGTTCCTGAAAATCCCAGTCCCAAAGAGGAGTTATAATCCCCTGGGATTGACCCCGCCCACCTGGATTGATTAAATGACTCCATTCTGGATCTGGAATGGACAGAAAGATAAAAAAGGGTCAGAAATGAGTGTATAGGTGGGAAAAGGATGAGTAAACCGAGAGAGAGTATAAAGCAGCAATGAATCCATAACGGCTCAGTGGAAAGGTACATAGTTTCTCTTTATGCGTGTATGTATTTGTCAGCAGGAGAGAATATGGCTTGTGTTCATTTAATGTGCTTGAGTCGGCTTGTTTTACAATGAGAGATCAGAGAGACTGAATCAGTGCAGATGATCACACCTCGGCTATAAAGATCAGAGCCAAAACAGCAAACCCACACAAGGAGACTGAAGAGACATAACGCATACATGCATTTCTCTCTGTCGCTCTCTGTCTCCTATTTTATGTCTTTCCTCAGTGTTGCATAGTGGCACAGGATGTTCATGCATTAAAAAACTATATTAAAAAGCATGGTTTAGAATACACTATATTTGACATCTACTGAACCAAATATGTTTTTTCAAGCTTTTGGCCTAAACAGGCAAAACACAGTCAACTATGGCAACAATTGAAATGAAAAAAAAAATGCCTTAAAGTTTTTGATTGGATTTTGATTGATTCTTATATCTCTATTAGTCCAGAGATCAGTTTTCACAATCCGTTTTCTCTAAATTCGTGCACAGTTGAGCCCAAACTGTCTGTCAGCACAGAGCATAATCTAAGAAAGCTAATTTGATTTCAGTTAACCTAAAACTAAACTTAATGTGTAGCTGTTTCCCTTCCATTGCAGTATGTAGGCTAGTTGTCACATCTCAGTAGCTGCAGGGTTTGGGGTCAAAAGTCCAATTACACAAATTCTCTAGCAAATCTATTTCAAAACATCTCATTCAAAACTATTAGATATTTTCCGTAAATTCTCACTCCCAAACCATATAATAATTTTCAACACAATAAATTCACAATGTCATGCATTTAGACAAGAGTCAACTAAACAATGATGGTAGATGTTAATCAAAAGTTTAAACTGTGTTCACAGGACAAGTTTGGGGCAACTTGTCACGTGTTTTATTTACTTAATTACTTTATTACTTACAATATTTGTTGGCCATAAGAACGGATTGATAATTATGTAGGTTTATAGGCTACCCTTTACATTTTTGTTGTTGCAGTAATTGATTTGCGTTTCATAATTGTTTGTGTGTGTGTGTGTGTGTGTGTGTGTGTGTGTGCGTGTGCGTGTACCTGGTATTTATCACGTTATGGGACCAAATGGAACCCACATTTTTGAGGTCCCCATGAGGAAACAAGCTTATAAATCATACAGAAAGTTTTTTTGAGAAAGTAAAAATGCACACAGTTTCCTGTAAGGGGTAGGTTTAGGGTTGGGTTGGTGTAGGGCAATAGCACATACAGTTTGTACAGTATAAAAACCATTACGCCTATGGGATGTCCCCATAAAACATGGAAACACAACATGTGTGTGCATGTGCGTGTGTGTGTGTGTGTGTGTGTAAACTGACTTTAAGAAGATCAGAAAAGTTTGACAGATAGCCCTGTTACAAAAACACTGAGCTATATGTGATTTTATATTTTACATGTGTAGACATTTGTTGGACTTCACTGCTGGTCTATGCAGCTCATTTACCCGCAGAATAAACGCACCGGCACTGAAGCTGCGTTGAAGGTCTCAACTGGATCGGTCTTACTACAAAACATTTTCTTACAAGCTATCTGCTCTCACCTTGATGAAATCAGTTTGAAGTCGCCAAAGACAGCGAGAATAACGCCGTGTGTCCGCTTTTCTTGCTTGGTTTCATTTTTCAGAAACGTTATTTACGTTTAGAAACACTTTATAAACTGCGTAAAAACTAAAATGCGTATGTTACGTTATTCATCTGTGGTGACATTCAAACTTAGTGCGCTTAAACAAACCAACAGGGCATTAAACTTGCATTATTGGGCAATTCTAAAGAACGTTTAAGATTTTCTTATTTTGCGCAACCCATACGATCAGAGTGTATTAACGAAAACAGTCCTGCTGCAAGTTACGAATATCCTTGCAATTATTACTACAAGATTCCTTAACTTAGATGGCTTGTTAACTAAAATAAAATCAATCCGAAACAGTAAACTGTGCTTACCTGAGTAGCCTATGTATCAGTAAAACGCAGGAAGGTGTGAAACACCCCTCGAAGGAGATGAGACGAGTAGATGAATGTCAAAAACACTGGGAAACATTGTGCAGGTTAAATCTGTCAGCAGCGTTATCTGTTGAACAAGCTACAGGACGCGCTCTAGCATCAGTGTGCAGCCTCGCGACAGGTGATGGCATCTGCTTGAGATGGAGCTAAACCTCCCAGCTAAACCTGGAGAGAGAGAGAGAGAGAGAGAGAGAGAGAGAGAGAGAGAGAGAGAAGGAGCAGTCGCGGATGGAGAGGTGAAGTCAACCTGACTAGTCTCTGTTCAAGAGAGAGAATTTAGTCGCAGTCAAGCCGTGCGCGTGCTTCCTCACACCTCAAGAGTAATAATTCTTTAACCCAAACAATACTGAAAAATATCTGCATTCTGCCAATTATATTTTCTAGTTATAATTATAATTATAGTTTCTGCATATTCCAATTCCACCTGCAACGAGGGCCAATGAGATTTAAGCGCAGTTTGAAATCCTCATTTTTCACCTTGGCGTTGAGCGCTTCACCTTTTCCAGAATGTAAACAAAGTTCGCGGGTGAAACGTAGTTTGAACGGAAGATTTTATGTGAGTAAACATTTACATTTTTGTCAGTTCCTCATTTAAGCTCATGAGAAGACTTATAATGCAACCCGTTCTCATGTATAATGGGAGTATGAAGCATTTTATGATACTTTTGAAATCCTTTTTGACAGCGTGGTGTAACAGTCGAGCGTGCATTTATTTAAGAATCATAATGATTTTTACACTTTCTGAAGCAAATGGAAGTAGTTACCTGCTTTTAAAACGTGCCCCCTCAGTGTCAGGTTGTTGATGCCAGAGCGTAATGGTAGAATTGGGTTAATGGTAATTAATTTATCCCAAATTTATAAAGCAAAACATTTATGACGCAACCTTTCGTAATCAGTAAACAGAATGAACACTATTATTCTGTGAAATTCTTTTAGGGATAGGGTAATTTAAGGAGAAACAACAAAGACATTTATATTTTCATAATTTGTGAAACGTTAGACCACCAACTTGAGACTGTAATCACAAAATTTCTTGCGTTCAGAAACTGCTAATTTGGTCATTTTCATGGCAATTAATCACATTTTCTTGCCAAATGTTAAATACCGTAATGTGCTCAGACTTTTACTTTAGAGATGTAATTTCCATTACTCTCAATGGTTCTCATGATTCTCATTGCAAAGAGTAGCCTAATGTCAAAATGCAGGAAGTCTTTCTCAAGAAAGTCCATCTCTCAAGAGTGGCAGCAACATCGCGTCTCCAATATGGACAATAGCAGATTCCCTGATAGCACACGTACATCTCAGAGATGTCTATTTGATGTGCGTGTTTACATCTGGAAGATGTATTTTTTAGAGTGTTTGCTCTTCTGCAATATGTTTATAGAACGTACATGTCAGACGTCAAATAGACGTTTAGAAAATGTCTTTAAGATGTTTATGATTTAGAATGTATGCAGTGAACAGATAGCCTACAACAAAAGCTTTGAGGTGCGGGTGGAGTTAAGGTACACAGAACACACCGTTCTAGGTGTTAATCGCTCGGAAACAGATGCTGTCTTTCATCAACTGCATCACTGGGGAATTTTTTTTTAAAGCACCTAATATGAAATATTCATACCTGACAGATATCACGGAAATAAGACATTTTTGTAAGAAATATCTCTCTAGCCCATGCTGTTCAAACCAATCCAAAACACTTTATGTCTGTCAGTCATTTTGTATGATGGAGATTGCTGACATTTTTGGGGGTCAGCATTTCACAAAAAATATGCATACTTCCCTTCTATGTAGTATGCAAAAAGTCAGTCAGAGATTTGTGAAGTGTGCATCCAAAGCTGAGTAAAATATTTTCAACTTTTGTTGTTAGTACATCAAAGAGCAAACAACAATGGCAAGAAGGTGGATGCAGTATGTTTGGGAATGTATGAAACAGCATATATATATCTGAAGATATGTGATTCATTAACAGGCCATAGTTTGTGCACAAAACTTGCCTATATCTTTGACAAGCACATAAATGCATGGACACACATTTATACTCAAACAAAATATCACAATAAATATAAAATATCTTATTTAAATTGAACTTTTAAACATTAACATGATTTCTGGTGGTACTCCTGGTGGATAATAATAAAAAATAATAAATAATAATACATTTTTCTCAGTCAACACACAGTCCATGTTAAGACAGTAGGGGTGTTTGCTGCTGAGAAAATCCCAAAGATCCAGAAAACACACACAAACACACCCAGATCAATTGAAGTCGAGTTCTTTCATGCGTGAGGCAGTTTTGAACTTAACAAGTACACAGTGGGATAATTACAGATATTGATTAACTAGAATCCCTGCGAATCTTCAGCTGCTCTCTGATTCATCAGTGTTTCCTAGACGGTTCTGACAGTCTGCTTCAGTGATCACGGGGCATTTTTAGGCTACAAATCTCTAAACTGATGTCACGCTGAATAATACAAAATGCATAATAATGCAATATATATTCAGTATTCAGATTTTCCTTCTAATTTTGTTCCCTCCAAACTTAGTTGGTGACAATATATATATAGGCCTATACAGTAGTAGAAACATCACAAATACCCTTCAACCCCTTTTTAACTGCTGATAGCCTCCCCTACTGGCCGAAAGCAATACTGACTCTAATATTACTTGTGTCGGGTTCTTTTCTTCATGTTTGCAAGGCTGTTATATTCAATACAATACATTCTAAAACATTCTACATCATAAAAGTGTAAGTGATTAAGTTATTTTCTGAAACCCCGAGAGAG